GAGTGGCTCTGCGCTGAGCTTCTGCAGATCGTTGAGGCGACTCCTGGTGAGGTGACGGAGCTCACCACCTACACTGCTCACCACACACACAAACACTCACCACTTACACTCACCACTCACCACTCACACTCACCACACACACAAACACTCACCACTCACCACACACACAAACACTCACCACTCACCACACACACAAACACTCACCACTCACCACACACACAAACACTCACCACTCACCACACACACAAACACTCACCACTCACACTCACCACACACACAAACACTCACCACTCACACACCACTCACTCACCACACACACAAACACTCACCACTCACACTCACCACACACACAAACACTCACCACTCACACACCACTCACTCACCACACACACAAACACTCACCACTCACACTCACCACACACACACACACTCACCACTCACCACACACACAAACACTCACCACTTACACTCACTCACCACACTCATCACTCACACTCACCACACTCACAAGTTGACACTGTATGTACAGTATGTGTGTGCTGTATAATACAGCGAGTAGGCACTGTATGTACAGTACGTGGACACTGTATAATACAGCGAGTAGGCACTGTATGTACAGTATGTGTTTGCTGTGTAATACAGTGGGTAGGCACTGTATGTACAGTACGTGGACACTGTACGATACAGCAAGTAGGCACTGTATGTACAGTACGTGGACACTGTATAATACAGCGAGTAGGCACTGTATGTACAGTACGTGGACACTGTACGATACAGCAAGTAGGCACTGTATGTACAGTACGTGGACACTGTATAATACAGCAAGTGGACACTGTATGTACAGTACGTGGACACTGTACCTTTCCTGCTTGTGCAGATCTTGCAGCAGCCTCTCAAACATCTCCACGGGGGAGGCCATCTACAGAATAACACACACACATACAGTGTGTTACACATACAGTGTGTTACACAGTGATACACACAGTGTTACACATAGTGTTACAGTGTTACACACAGTGTTACACACAGTGTTACACACACAGTGTCACACACACACACAGTGTGACACACACACACATACACAGTGTGACACACACACAGTGTCACACAGTGATATACACACACACAGTGTGACACACACACAGTGTCACACAGTGATATACACACACACAGTGTGACACACACACACATACACAGTGTGACACACACATACAGTGACACACAGTGTTACACACACACAGTGTTACACACAGTGTCACACACAGTGTTACACACACACAGTGACACACACACACACAGTGTGACACACACAGTGTTACACACAGTGTCATACACACACATACACACAGTGTCACAGTGTTACACACATACAGTGTCACACAGTGTTACACACATACACACAGTGTTACACACACACACACAGTGTTACACAGTGTTACACACAGTGTTACACACATACACAGTGATATACACACAGTGTTACACAGTGATACACACACACACACAGTGACACACACACAGTGTGACACACACACACACACAGTGTGACAGTGTGACACACACATACAGTGTTACACACACAGTGTTACACACACAGTGTGACACACACATACACAGTGTCACACACACACACAGTGTTACATACACAGTGTTACACACACACAGTGACACACACACACACAGTGTTACAGTGTTACACAGTGTTACACACACACATACACACAGTGTCACACACACAGTGTTACACAGTGACACACACACACACAGTGTCACACAGTGTGACACACACACACAGTGTCACACAGTGTTACACACACACACAGTGACACACACAGTGACACAGTTACACACACACAGTGTTACACAGTGTTACACACACACACACAGTGACACACACAGTGACACAGTTACACACACAGTGTTACACAGTGATACACACACAGTGTCACACACACAGTGTCACAGTGACACACACACAGTGTTACACAGTGACACACACAGTGACACACACACAGTGACACACACACAGTGTTACACAGTGATACACACACAGTGTGACACAGTGATACACACACAGTGTGACACACACACAGTGTTACACAGTGATACACACACAGTGTCACACACACACAGTGTTACACAGTGATACACACACAGTGTCACACACACACACAGTGACACACAGTGACACACACAGTGACACACACACACAGTGTCACAGTGTTACACACACACAGTGTCACACACATACACACAGTCACACACACACAGTGTCACACACAGTGTCACACACAGTGACACACACATACACACAGTGTCACAGTGTCACACACACACAGTGTCACACACATACACACAGTCACACACACACAGTGTCACACACACACAGTGTCACAGTGTCACACAGTGTTACACACACAGTGACACACACACACACAGTGTTACACACACACAGTGTCACAGTGTCACACACACAGTGACACACACACAGTGTTACACACACAGTGACACACACACACACAGTGTTACACAGTGATACACACACAGTGTCACACACACACACAGTGACACACAGTGACACACACAGTGACACACACACAGTGACACACACACACAGTGACACACACAGTAACACATACAGTCAAACACAGTAACACACACACAGTGTCATACACACACACACAGTGATACACACACATACACACACAGTGACACACACACAGTCACACACACACACAGTCACACACACAGTCACACAGTGACACACACACAGAGTGAGTGGTGAGTGAGTGGTGAGTGAGTGAGTGGGTGAGTGAGTGAGTGGTGAGTGAGTGAGTGGTGAGTGAGTGGTGAGTGAGTGAGTGGGTGAGTGAGTGGGTGAGTGGTGAGTGAGTGGGTGAGTGAGTGAGTGAGTGGGTGAGTGGTGAGTGAGTGAGTGGGTGAGTGAGTGGTGAGTGAGTGGTGAGTGAGTTAGTGGGTGAGTGAGTGGGTGAGTGAGTGGGTGAGTGGTGAGTGAGTGGGTGAGTGAGTGAGTGGGTGAGTGGTGAGTGAGTGAGTGAGTGGTGAGTGAGTGGTGAGTGAGTGAGTGGGTGAGTGAGTGAGTGAGTGGTGAGTGAGTGGTGAGTGAGTGAGTGGGTGAGTGAGTGGGTGAGTGAGTGAGTGAGTGGTGAGTGAGTGGGTGAGTGAGTGAGTGAGTGGTGAGTGGGTGGGTGAGTGAGTGGTGAGTGAGTGGTGAGTGAGTTAGTGGGTGAGTGAGTGGGTGAGTGAGTGGGTGAGTGGTGAGTGAGTGGGTGAGTGAGTGAGTGAGTGGGTGAGTGGTGAGTGAGTGAGTGAGTGGTGAGTGAGTGGTGAGTGAGTGAGTGGGTGAGTGAGTGGGTGAGTGAGTGAGTGAGTGGTGAGTGAGTGGGTGAGTGAGTGAGTGAGTGGTGAGTGAGTGGGTGAGTGAGTGAGTGAGTGGGTGAGTGAGTGGTGAGTGGTGAGTGAGTGAGTGAGTGGTGAGTGAGTGAGTGGGTGGTGAGTGAGTGGGTGAGTGAGTGAGTGAGTGGTGAGTGAGTGAGTGGTGAGTGAGTGAGTGGTGAGTGAGTGGTGAGTGAGTGAGTGAGTGGGTGAGTGGGTGAGTGAGTGAGTGGTGAGTGAGTGAGTGAGTGGTGAGTGAGTGAGTGGTGAGTGGTGAGTGAGTGGTGAGTGGTGAGTGGTCAGTGAGTGAGTGGTGAGTGAGTGGTGAGTGGTGAGTGAGTGGTGAGTGAGTGAGTGTCTGAGTGAGTGAGTGAGTGGTGAGTGAGTGGTGAGTGAGTGGGTGAGTGAGTGAGTGAGTGGTGAGTGACTGGTGAGTGAGTGGTGAGTGAGTGGTGAGTGAGTGTGTGAGTGAGTGAGTGAGTGGTGAGTGAGTGGTGAGTGAGTGAGTGAGTGGTGAGTGAGTGGTGAGTGAGTGAGTGGTGAGTGAGTGGTGAGTGAGTGAGTGGTGAGTGAGTGGTGAGTGGTGAGTGAGTGGTGAGTGAGTGGTGAGTGAGTGAGTGAGTGGTGAGTGAGTGAGTGGTGAGTGAGTGAGTGGTGAGTGAGTGGTGAGTGAGTGAGTGGTGAGTGAGTGGTGAGTGAGTGAGTGGTGAGTGAGTGAGTGAGTGGTGAGTGAGTGGTGAGTGAGTGAGTGAGTGGTGAGTGAGTTGGTGAGTGAGTGGTGAGTGAGTGGTGAGTGAGTGAGTGGTGAGTGAGTGAGTGAGTGGTGAGTGAGTGGTGAGTGAGTGAGTGAGTGGTGAGTGAGTTGGTGAGTGAGTGGTGAGTGAGTGGTGAGTGAGTGGTGAGTGCTCACCTTGATTGGCGTTCTTTTGGAGATTTTCGAAATCTTTGGCATGGCAACTGTCACACACACAGTGACACACACAGTGACACACACAGTGAGATACACAGTGACACACACACACAGTGACACACACACACAGTGACACACACACACACATTGAGACACACACAGTGACACACACACAGTGACACACACAGTGACACACATATAGTGACACACACACAGTGACACACACACAGTGACACACACAGTGACACACACACACAGTGGCACACACAGTGACACACACACACAGTGACACACACACAGTGACACACACAGTGACACACACACACAGTGACACACACAGTGACACACACATAGTGACACACACAAACACACACAGTGACACACACAGTGACACACACACAGTGACACACACACACAGTGACACACACAGTAACACACACACACAGTGACACACACACAGTGACACACACAGTGACACACACACACAGTGACACACACAGTGACACACACACAGTGACACACACACACAGTGACACACACAGTGACACACACACAGTGACACACACACACAGTGACACACACACACAGTGACACACACAGTGACACACACACAGTGACACACACACACAGTGACACACACAGTGACACACACACAGTGACACACACACACAGTGACACACACACACAGTGACACACACAGTGACACACACAGTGACACACACACACAGTGACACACACAGTGACACACACACAGTGACACACACACACACAGTGACACACAGTGTCACACACACAGTGACACACACACACACAGTGACACACACACAACTTAAAAATGTAACTAATAAGCTTGTGCCGGAGGCCCCGGGGGGCCAGGCGTCTATGACGTCTCCTGACCAAACCCCAATTGGTGAAGCCAGGAGATTGAATCTCTCTACCCTCGGGGCTACTCCAGAAACAACGAAAATCCACTTCGTGTGGCCACGTGGAATGTTCGAACGCTCACTGCAGAGGAGAGGCTGCCACTCCTCTGTCGGGAGCTGGACCGGTACCGCCTGGATCTATGCGGCATTCAGGAGGTCCGGTGGACCGGCTCTGGCTCCTGCCACCATGAGGGGTGGACAGTCCTCTACTCGGGGCAGCAGACTGCCAAACAACAGGGTGTGGCTCTTCTTTTGAACAAGAGAATGAAGGGGGCGTGGGAGCGTGGCGGTGAGGTGTGGGAAGCTGTAAGCCCCAGGCTACTTTGGGCTCGCCTTCCCATCAACCGGAGGCGAGGAGTGGTGGTCGTGGTTACTTATGCCCCCATCGAAGATGAACATCCGTGGAGGGATGCAGGCAAAGCCGATTAGTCAGATGTGTGGTGAGTGGATGACTGAGTGAGTGGATGAGTGAGCGGGTGAGTGAGTGAGTGGGTGAGTGAGCGGGTGAGTGAGTGAGTGAGTGGGTGAGTGAGTGAGTGGATGAGTGAGCGGGTGAGTGAGTGAGTGAGTGGATGAGTGAGTGAGTGGGTGGATGAGTGAGTGGGTGAGTGGGTGAGTGGATGAGTGAGCGGGTGAGTGAGTGAGTGGATGAGTGAGTGAGTGAGTGGATGAGTGAGTGGATGAGTGAGCGGGTGGGTGAGTGAGTGAGTGAGTGGATGAGTGAGTGAGTGGATGAGTGAGTGGATGAGTGAGCGGATGGGTGAGTGAGTGAATGAGTGGATGAGTGAGTGAGTGAGTGGATGAGTGAGCGGGTGAGCGGGTGAGTGAGTGGATGAGTGAGTGAGTGAGTGGGTGAGTGAGTGAGTTAGTGGATGAGTGAGTGAGTGAGTGGGTGAGTGAGTGGGTGAGTGAGTGAGTGGGTGAGTGGATGAGTGAGTGGATGAGTGAGTGAGTGAGCAGGTGAGTGAGTGAGTGAGTGGGTGAGTGGATGAGTGAGTGGATGAGTGAGTAAGTGGGTGAGTGAGTGAGTGGGTGAGTGAGTGAGTGAGTGGATGAGTGAGTGAGTGAGTGGATGAGTGAGCGGGTGGGTGAGCGAGTGACTGAGTGGATGTGTGGCGAGTGAGTGGATGAGTGAGCGGGTGAGCGGGTGAGTAAGTGTATGAGTGAGCAGGTGAGTGAGTGGGCGAGTGGGTGAGTGGGTGAGTGAGTGGATGAGTGAGTGAGTGGATGAGTGAGTGAGTGAGTTGGTGAGTGAGTGGATGAGTGAGTGGATGAGTGAGTAAGTGGGTGAGTGAGTGGATGAGTGAGCGGGTGAGCGGGTGAGTGAGTGGGTGAGTGGTGAGTGGATGAGTGAGTGGATGAGTGAGAGGATGAGTGAGTGAGCAGGTGAGTGAGTGGATGAGTGAGCGGGTGAGTGAGTGGATGAGTGAGTGGATGAGCGGGTGAGTTAGTGGATGAGTGAGTGAGTGAGTGGTGAGTGGATGAGTGAGTGGGTGAGTGAGTGGATGAGTGAGCGGGTGAGTGAGTGACTGAGTGAGTGAGCGGGTGACTGAGTGGATGTGTGGTGAGTGAGCGTGTGAGTGAGTGACTGAGTGAGTGGGTGAGTGAGTGGATGAGTGAGTGGATGAGCGGGTGAGCGAGTGAGCGGGTGAGTGGGTGACTGAGTGGATCTGTGGCTGACCGTGGCGGTCGCTCACCTGGTGAGCTGGTGAGCGTTTCGACCGCTTGGTGAGCATGAATGCGGCTGCGTTCGTCCGGATGACTTTCAGCGATGTCCCGCAACAGTGCCAGAGCAAACTCACCACGCTCCTCACCACGCTCCTCACCACCACGCTCACCACCACGCTCACCACCACGCTCACCACCACCACCACCACCCCAGAGGTGACGAAGCGATGGACTCCCAAGGCACTGGAGCAACGCCAGTCCATAGCGGAAGACTCCGTACACACCCTACACACCGGATAGTGGTGAGTGTCAGTGTGTACACACCCTACACACCCTACACACCGGATAGTGGTGAGTGTCAGTGTGTACACACCCTACACACCGGATAGTGGTGAGTGTGTACACACCCTACACACCAGATAGTGGTGAGTGTGTACAACCCTACACACCGGATAGTGGTGAGTATCAGTGTGTACACACCCTACACACCCTACACACCGGATAGTGGTGAGTGTCAGTGTGTACACACCCTACACACCCTACACACCGGATAGTGGTGAGTGTCAGTGTGTACACACCCTACACACCCTACACACCGGATAGTGGGGAGTGTGAGTGTGTACACACCCTACACACCCTACACACCGGATAGTGGTGAGTGTCAGTGTGTACACACCCTACACACCCTACACACCCTACACACCCTACACACCGGATAGTGGTGAGTGTCAGTGTGTACACACCCTACACACCCTACACAACCTACACACCGGATAGTGGTGAGTGTCAGTGTGTACACACCCTACACACCCTACACACCCTACACACCGGATAGTGGCGAGTGTGAGTGTGTGAGTGTGTGAGTGAGTGAGTGTGTGAGTGAGTGAGTAGGTGAGTGAGTGAGTGAGTAGGTGAGTGAGTAGGAGAGTGAGTAGGTGAGTAGGTGAGTGAGTAGGTGAGTAGGTGAGTGAGTAGGAGAGTGAGTAGGTGAGTAGGTGAGTGAGTAGGTGAGTAGGTGAGTGAGTAGGTGAGTGAGTGAGTGTGTGAGTGAGTGAGTAGGTGAGTGAGTGAGTGAGTAGGTGAGTGAGTAGGAGAGTGAGTAGGTGAGTAGGTGAGTGAGTAGGTGAGTAGGTGAGTGAGTAGGAGAGTGAGTAGGTGAGTAGGTGAGTGAGTAGGTGAGTAGGTGAGTGAGTAGGTGAGTGAGTAGGTGAGTAGGTGAGTGAGTAGGTGAGTGAGTAGGTGAGTGAGTAGGTGAGTAGGTGAGTGAGTAGGTGAGTGAGTAGGTGAGTAGGTGAGTGAGTAGGTGAGTGAGTAGGTGAGTAGGTGAGTGAGTAGGTGAGTGAGTAGGTGAGTAGGTGAGTGAGTAGGTGAGTGAGTAGGTGAGTGAGTAGTTGAGTGAGTAGGTGAGTAGGTGAGTGAGTAGGTGAGTAGGTGAGTGAGTAGGTGAGTAGGTGAGTGAGTATGTGAGTGAGTAGGTGAGTAGGTGAGTGAGTAGGTGAGTGAGTAGGTGAGTAGGTGAGTGAGAAGGTGAGTAGGTGAGTGAGTAGGTGAGTGAGTAGGTGAGTGAGAAGGTGAGTAGGTGAGTGAGTAGGTGAGTGAGTAGGTGAGTGAGTGAGTGTGTGAGTGAGTGAGTAGGTGAGTGAGTGAGTGAGTAGGTGAGTGAGTAGGTGAGTGAGTAGGTGAGTAGGTGAGTGAGTAGGTGAGTAGGTGAGTGAGTAGGTGAGTGAGTAGGTGAGTAGGTGAGTGAGTAGGTGAGTGAGTAGGTGAGTGAGTAGTTGAGTGAGTAGGTGAGTAGGTGAGTGAGTAGGTGAGTAGGTGAGTGAGTAGGTGAGTAGGTGAGTGAGTATGTGAGTGAGTAGGTGAGTAGGTGAGTGAGTAGGTGAGTGAGTAGGTGAGTAGGTGAGTGAGAAGGTGAGTAGGTGAGTGAGTAGGTGAGTGAGTAGGTGAGTGAGAAGGTGAGTAGGTGAGTGAGTAGGTGAGTGAGTAGGTGAGTGAGTAGGTGAGTAGGTGAGTGAGTAGGTGAGTGAGTAGGTGAGTAGGTGAGTAAGTGAGTAGGTGAGTAGGTGAGTAGGTGAGTGAGTAGGTGAGTAGGTGAGTAGGTGAGTAGGTGAGTGAGTGGTGAGTAGGTGAGTAGGTGAGTAGGTGAGTGGTGAGTAGGTGAGTAGGTGAGTGAGTGGTGAGTAGGTGAGTAGGTGAGTAGGTGAGTAGGTGAGTGAGTAGGTGAGTAGGTGAGTGATAAGGTGAGTAGGTGAGTGAGTAGGTGAGTAGGTGAGTGAGTAGGTGAGTAGGTGAGTAGGTGAGTAGGTGAGTAGGTGAGTGAGTAGGTGAGTGAGTAGGTGAGTAGGTGAGCGAGTGGTGAGTAGGTGAGTAGGTGAGTGAGTAGGTGAGTGAGTAGGTGAGTGAGTGGTGAGTGAGTGGTGAGTGAGTAGGTGAGTAGGTGAGTGAGTGGGTGAGTAGGTGAGTGAGTAGGTGAGTAGGTGAGTAGGTGAGTGGTGAGTAGGTGAGTAGGTGAGTGAGTAGGTGAGTAGGTGAGTGAGTAGGTGAGTAGGTGAGTGAGTAGGTGAGTGAGTAGGTGAGTAGGTGAGTAGGTGAGTGGTGAGTAGGTGAGTAGGTGAGTAGGTGAGTAGGTGAGTAGGTGAGTGAGTGGTGAGTGAGTAGGTGAGTAGGTGAGTAGGTGAGTGAGTAGGTGAGTGAGTGGTGAGTAGGTGAGTAGGTGAGTAGGTGAGTAGGTGAGTGAGTGGTGAGTGAGTAGGTGAGTAGGTGAGTGAGTAGGTGAGTGAGTGGTGAGTAGGTGAGTAGGTGAGTAGGTGAGTAGGTGAGTAGGTGAGTGAGTGGTGAGTGAGTAGGTGAGTAGGTGAGTAGGTGAGTGAGTAGGTGAGTGAGTGGTGAGTAGGTGAGTAGGTGAGTAGGTGAGTAGGTGAGTAGGTGAGTGAGTGGTGAGTGAGTAGGTGAGTAGGTGAGTAGGTGAGTGAGTAGGTGAGTGAGTAGGTGAGTGATTAGGTGAGTAGGTGAGTGGTGAGTAGGTGAGTGAGTGGTGAGTAGGTGAGTAGGTGAGTGAGTAGGTGAGTGAGTAGGTGAGTAGGTGAGTAGGTGAGTAGGTGAGTGAGTGGTGAGTAGGTGAGTAGGTGAGTAGGTGAGTAGGTGAGTGAGTAGGTGAGTGAGTAGGTGAGTGAGTGGTGAGTAGGTGAGTAGGTGAGTAGGTGAGTGAGTAGGTGAGTGAGTAGGTGAGTAGGTGAGTAGGTGAGTAGGTGAGTGGTGAGTGGTGAGTGAGTAGGTGAGTGAGTGGTGAGTAGGTGAGTAGGTGAGTAGGTGAGTAGGTGAGTGGTGAGTGAGTAGGTGAGTAGGTGAGTAGGTGAGTAAGTGAGTAGGTGAGTGGTGAGTGAGTAGGTGAGTAGGTGAGTAGGTGAGTAGGTGAGTAGGTGAGTGAGTGGTGAGTAGGTGAGTGAGTAGGTGAGTAGGTGAGTAGGTGAGTAGGTGAGTAGGTGAGTGGTGAGTGAGTAGGTGAGTAGGTGAGTAGGTGAGTAGGTGAGTAGGTGAGTGAGTGGTGAGTAGGTGAGTGAGTAGGTGAGTAGGTGAGTAGGTGAGTAGGTGAGTAGGTGAGTAGGTGAGTGGTGAGTGAGTAGGTGAGTAGGTGAGTAGGTGAGTAGGTGAGTGAGTGGTGAGTAGGTGAGTGAGTAGGTGAGTAGGTGAGTAGGTGAGTAGGTGAGTAGGTGAGTGAGTAGGTGAGTGAGTAGGTGAGTGGTGAGTAGGTGAGTAGGTGAGTAGGTGAGTGAGTAGGTGAGTAGGTGAGTGGTGAGTGAGTAGGTGAGTAGGTGAGTAGGTGAGTGGTGAGTGAGTAGGTGAGTAGGTGAGTAGGTGAGTGGTGAGTGAGTAGGTGAGTAGGTGAGTAGGTGAGTAGGTGAGTGAGTAGGTGAGTAGGTGAGTAGGTGAGTAGGTGAGTGAGTGGTGAGTAGGTGAGTGAGTAGGTGAGTAGGTGAGTAGGTGAGTAGGTGAGTGGTGAGTGAGTAGGTGAGTAGGTGAGTAGGTGAGTGAGTGGTGAGTAGGTGAGTGAGTAGGTGAGTAGGTGAGTAGGTGAGTAGGTGAGTAGGTGAGTGGTGAGTGAGTAGGTGAGTAGGTGAGTAGGTGAGTAGGTGAGTAGGTGAGTGAGTGGTGAGTAGGTGAGTAGGTGAGTAGGTGAGTAGGTGAGTAGGTGAGTAGGTGAGTGAGTAGGTGAGTGAGTAGGTGAGTGGTGAGTAGGTGAGTAGGTGAGTAGGTGAGTGAGTAGGTGAGTAGGTGAGTGGTGAGTGAGTAGGTGAGTAGGTGAGTAGGTGAGTGGTGAGTGAGTAGGTGAGTAGGTGAGTAGGTGAGTGAGTAGGTGAGTAGGTGAGTAGGTGAGTAGGTGAGTAGGTGAGTGAGTAGGTGAGTGAGTAGGTGAGTGGTGAGTAGGTGAGTAGGTGAGTAGGTGAGTAGGTGAGTGAGTAGGTGAGTAGGTGAGTGGTGAGTGAGTAGGTGAGTAGGTGAGTAGGTGAGTGGTGAGTGAGTAGGTGAGTAGGTGAGTAGGTGAGTGAGTAGGTGAGTAGGTTGAGTAGGTGAGTGTTCCTCACCTCGTTGTTGCGCTGCAGTGAGCTGAGCAAAGTGACGAGGAAATTCACTCCACCACATTGAGCCAACTCCTCACCTACAACAACAACATCAACAACATCAACATCAACAACCACAACAACATCATCATCAACAACATCAACATCAACAACATCAACAACATCATCAACTACGTGAGTGGGTGGGTTGTGAGTGAGTGGGTGAGTGAGTGGGTGAGTGGTGAGCGGGTGGTGAGCGAGCCTCTTGGAGCTCGTGACTGGTGAGCGAGTGAGCGGGTGAGTGAGTGGGTGAGTGAGTGAGTGAGTGGGTGAGTGAGTGAGTAGGTGAGTGAGTGGGTGAGTGAGTGGGTGAGTGGTGAGCGGGTGGTGAGCGAGCCTCATGGAGCTCGTGACTGGTGAGCGAGTGAGCGGGTGAGTGAGTGGGTGAGCGAATGGGTGAGAGAGTGGGTGGGTGAGTGAGTGAGTGAGTGGGTGACTGGTGAGTGAGTGAGTGAGTGGGTGAGTGAGTGGGCGACTGGTGAGTGAGTGAGCGGGTGGTGAGCGGGTGGTGAGCGAGCCTCACGGAGCTCGTGAATGGTGAGCGAGTGAGTGAGTGAGTGAGTGGGTGAGTGAGTGAGTAGGTGAGTGAGTGGGTGAGTGAGTGAGTGGTGATTGAGTGAGTGAGTGGGTAAGTGGTGAGCGGGTGGTGAGTGAGTGAGTGAGCGAGCCTCACGGAGCTCGTGACTGGTGAGCGAGTGAGTGAGTGAGTGGGTGAGTGGGTGGGTGAGTGAGCGAGTGGGTGAGAGAGTCGGTGAGTGAGTGAGTGAGTGGGTGAGTGAGTGGGTGAGTGGTGAGCGGGTGGTGAGCGGGTGGTGAGCGAGCCTCACGGAGCTCGTGACTGGTGAGCGAGTGAGTGGGTGAGTGGTGAGGGGGTGGTGAGTGAGCCTCACGGAGCTCGTGACTGGTGAGCGAGTGAGTGAGTGAGTGGGTGAGTGAGTGAGTGAGTGGGTGAGTGAGTGGGTGGGTGAGTGAGTGAGTGGGTGAGTGAGCGAGTGAGTGACTGAGCGGGTGAGTGGGTGAGTGAGTGAGTGGGTGAGTGAGTGAGTGGGTGAGTGGTGAGTGAGTGAGTGAGCCTCACGGAGCTCGTGACTGGTGAGCGAGTGAGTGAGTGAGTGACTGAGCGGGTGAGTGGGTGAGTGACTGAGTAGGTGAGTGAGTGGGTGAGTGGTGAGTGAATGGTGAGTGAGCCTCACGGAGCTCGTGACTGGTGAGCGAGTGAGTGAGTGGGTGAGCGAGTGGGTGAGTAAGTGAGTGAGTGAGTGGGTGAGCGAGTGGGTGAGTGGGTGAGTGAGTGAGTGGGTGAGTGGTGAGCGGGTGGTGAGCGAGCCTCACGGAGCTCGTGACTGGTGAGCGAGTGAGTGAGTGAGTGGTGAGTGGGTGGTGAGCGAGCCTCACGGAGCTCGTGACTGGTGAGCGAGTGGGTGAGCGGGTGGTGAGTGAGTGAGTGGGTGAGTGGGTGAGTGAGTGAGTGGGTGAGTGGTGAGTGAGTGGGTGAGTGAGTGAGTGGGTGGGTGGTGAGTGAGTGAGTGGGTGAGTGGTGAGTGAGTGGTGAGCGAGTGAGTGGGTGAGAGAGTGGGTGAGTGAGTGAGTGGGTGAGTGAGTGGGTGAGTGAGTGAGTGGGTGAGTGGGTGAGAGAGTGGGTGAGTGAGTGAGTGGGTGAGAGAGTGGGTGAGTGAGTGAGTGGGTGAGTGAGTGGGTGAGTGAGTGAGTGAGTGGGTGAGTGGTGAGTGAGTGGTGAGCGAGTGAGTGGGTGAGAGAGTGGGTGAGTGAGTGAGTGGGTGAGTGAGTGGGTGAGTGAGTGAGTGAGTGACTGAGTGGGTGAGTGAGTGAGTGAGTGGGTGAGTGAGTGGGTGAGTGAGTGGGTGAGTGAGTGAGTGGGTGAGTGAGTGGGTGAGTGAGTGGGTGAGTGAGTGGGTGAGTGAGTGAGTGGGTGAGTGAGTGGGTGAGTGAGTGAGTGGGTGAGTGAGTGGGTGAGTGAGTGGGTGAGTGAGTGGGTGAGTGAGTGAGTGGGTGAGTGAGTGAGTGGGTGAGTGGTGAGTGAGTGGTGAGCGAGTGAGTGGGTGAGAGAGTGGGTGAGTGAGTGAGTGGGTGAGTGAGTGGGTGAGTGAGTGAGTGAGTGACTGAGTGGGTGAGTGAGTGAGTGAGTGGGTGAGTGAGTGGGTGAGTGAGTGGGTGAGTGAGTGGGTGGGTGAGTGAGTGGGTGAGTGAGTGGGTGAGTGAGTGGGTGAGTGAGTGAGTGGGTGAGTGAGTGGGTGAGTGAGTGAGTGGGTGAGTGAGTGGGTGAGTGAGTGGGTGAGTGAGTGGGTGAGTGAGTGAGTGGGTGAGTGAGTGAGTGGGTGAGTGGTGAGTGAGTGGTGAGCGAGTGAGTGGGTGAGAGAGTGGGTGAGTGAGTGAGTGGGTGAGTGAGTGGGTGAGTGAGTGAGTGAGTGACTGAGTGGGTGAGTGAGTGAGTGAGTGGGTGAGTGAGTGGGTGAGTGAGTGGGTGAGTGAGTGAGTGGGTGAGTGAGTGGGTGAGTGAGTGGGTGAGTGAGTGGGTGAGTGAGTGAGTGGGTGAGTGAGTGGGTGAGTGAGTGAGTGGGTGAGTGAGTGGGTGAGTGAGTGAGTGGGTGAGTGAGCCTCACGGAGCTCGTGACTGGTGAGCGAGTGGGTGAGTGGGTGGTGAGTGAGTGGTGAGCGAGCCTCACGGAGCTCGTGACTGGTGAGCGAGTGGGTGAGTAGAACTCGCAGCGCCGCTTCGATCAGCGCCAGTCGCTGCTGCGGTGGAGTCCCAATCGCTGTCCCCTCCATCACTCCCTCCATCACAGAGCAGAGAACTCCCACCAGCAGCTCTGTGCACAGACAAAGATCCCCCGGGCAGCCTTCACGGACTCGAGGGGCAAGGGCTGGAACGGCACACGAGGCGGTGGGTGGCCAGCACCACGCCCGACCGCCTTTGTCTCTCCACAGTGCCGGAGATGTTCACTGCACACCGCAGCAGGTGACTCATTTGAGGCCGAGCCGACCTAGGGGAGCGTCGGCACCAGCACGGACGGCGTTTCAGCCACCCGCCCGCCCGCTCACCCACTCACCCACTCACTCACCCACCCACTCACCCACCCACTCACCCACCCACTCACCCACTCACCCACCCACTCACCCACCCACCCACTCACCCACCCACTCACCCACCCACTCACCCACTCACTCACTCACTCACCCACCCACTCACTCACTCACTCACCCACTCACCCACTCACCCACCCACTCACCCACCCACTCACCCACCCACTCACCGACCCACTCACCCACCCACTCACTCACCCACTCACCCACCCACTCACCCACCCACTCACCCACCCACTCACCGACCCACTCACCCACCCACCCACTCACCGACCCACTCACCCACCCACTCACCCACGCACTCACCCACCCACTCACCCACCCACTCACCCACCCACCCACTTACCCACCCACTCACCCACCCACCCACTCACCCACCCACTCACCCACCCACTCGCCCAACCAGTAACCCACCCACTCACCCACCCACTCACCCACCCAGGTCAGGGACTCCAAAAGCACGAAGAACAACCCAGAGCCCAGGCCTACTGATGGTATCATAGGCCTTGACCAGGTCAATAAAGCAGAGATGTAGGTCTTGTTGGAATTCCCTACACCTCTGCTGTAGCAGACGGACAGAAAATATGGCATCTGTGCAGGACCGCCCTTTCCTGAAACCGCATTGGGGCTCCGCAAGCCTCTCCTCAGCGTGCCTGGCAAGGCGATGCTGAATAATCCTTGCCAGGACCTTTCCCGGCACACTGAGGAGTGAGATGCCCCTGTAGTTGTTACAGTCTGTGCGGTCCCCCTTCTTAAAGAGGGGGATCACCAGGGCATCCTTCCAATCCTGCGGAACCCGTCCAGTGGTCCAGACCGTTGTTATGATGTCATATAGGGCAGTCTGTGCACAAACGCCACCCTCCCTCAGCATTTCGCTTGGGAGATCATCTCTGCCCACTGCCTTTCCTGGTCTCAGACTCCGGATCGCCTTCAGTACTTCCTCAACAGATGGCACCTCAGCCAGCCACTCACAGGGGGTGACTTCTTCCAATATTTGAGGCACCGCAGCCTCAGCAGAGTCATCCTCACTTTGTGCCATGATATTTTCCTGGCTGAGGGATTTTCCCTCCCCCAGGACCTACAGAAACGCTCAGCAAATGTGCAAACCTGTTCCTGGGGGTCGGAGATTGGGTCACCGTAATAGGTGTGGCGCTGCAGGTTACTTTTTTGATGGAGTTAAATAGAGATTTGTGATCACGGGATATTGAGGCAGACTCCATCTCCTCAGCAACCCGCGACCACCATCCATCCTTGCAGCGCCTCACGGCTCTCCAAACCTCCGAGCGAAGGCTGCGGTAAGCCTCCTCATTCTCTGACGTGGGATTCTGTAGCCGATGACAGTGGGCCTGTCGCTTTTTCTCAACCATCCTGAACACCTCCTCTGTCAGCCAGGGTCTCTGGGGAGGTCTGGACCACGTACCCAAAGCAGCCATTGCAGCTGCATGAGTCACAGTCCTAAACCTCGCCCATTTACCCTCGACATCAGGAGGAGTCGGGGACGATGCCAACTCCAGCAGCAAGCGATGATGAAATTCTCGCTTGCAACTTTCATCAGATAACTGAGACCAGGCCACTTTATGTTGGAATGGGGTCCTGGGTGTACACCCACCACCGGAGTGGAAGAATGGCAGGCGCATCTTACAGATGACTAGTCGATGGTCAGAGGGCAGATCAGCTCCACGGTAGGTCCTGGTGTCAAGGACATGGGCTCGCATCCGCTGGTCCGTCACTATGTAGTCCAGCAGATGTTCTTGCTTGGACCCGGCATGCATCTATGATGTTGTGTGGATGCGCCGATGCCGGAACAGCGTGCTGGTAATTACAAGCCCATGGGCTGCACAACAATCTAGCAGCCTCCTACCGTTGTTATTGAGCTGATCTGGCCCATGCCCTCCGATCACTCCAGACCAGGTACCAGTATCATGACCAACTCGGGCATTGAAGTCACCCAACAAGATGACTCTATCCCGAGGGGCCACTTTAGCCAGCACCTGTGACAGGAGGTCATGGAAGGCATCTGACTCATCGGCTTTGCCTGCATCCCTCCACGGATGTTCATCTTCGGTGGGGGCATAAGTAACCACGACCACCATTCCTCGCCTCCGGTTGATGGGAAGGCGAGCCCAAAGTAGCCTGAGGCTTACAGCTTCCCACACCTCACCGCCACGCTCCCACGCCCCCTTCATTCTTTTGTTCAAAAGAAGAGCCACACCCTGTTGTTTGGCAGTCTGCTGCCCCGAGTAGAGGACTGTCCACCCCTCATGGTGGCAGGAGCCAGAGCCGGTCCACCAGACCTCCTGAATGCCACAGAGATCCAGGCGGTACCGGTCCAGCTCCCGACAGAGGAGCGGCAGCCTCTCCTCCGCAGTGAGCGTTCGAACATTCCACGTGGCCACACGAAGTGGATTTTCGTTGTTTCTGGAGGAGCCCCGAGGGTAGAGATTCAATCTCCTGGCTCCGCCAATTGGGGTTTGGCCAGGAGACGTCATAGACGCCTGGCCCCCCGGGGCCTCCGGCACAAGCTTATTAGTTATATATTTCAGTTTAACTCGTGGTTTCTTGGTAATTAATTGAAGGTGGAGGGGTTACCAGCCCCTCACACCCGTCCAAAGCCCACGTTTAGCCCCTGTGGTGGACACAGATGCCATGAGGGGAGGAGCCAATCAAAATTGGACCTCCCCCCACAGCACTGTCCACGACAGAGTTGCCCGTCCGGCACCGCGAGGAGGTAGGGAGTTGTTTTGCCGTGTACACACACAGGTGTACACACACACACACAGGTGTACACACACAGGTGTACACACACACACACAGGTGTACACACACAGGTGTACACACACACAGGTGTACACACACAGGTGTACACACACACACAGGTGTACACACACACAGGTGTACACACACACACACACAGGTGTACACACACACAGGTGTACACACACACAGGTAGACCCTCACACACAGACACACACACACACCCACACAGGTAGACACACACACAGGTGTACACACAGACAGGTGTACACACACAGTCAGGTGTACACACACACAGTGTACACACAGAAACTCCCACAGGTAGACACACACACACACAGACACACACACAGACACACACACACAGGTGTACACACACACAGACAGACACTCCCACAGGTGTACACACACACAGGTGTACACACACACAGATGTACACACACACACAGGTGTACACACAGACACACACTCCCACAGGTAGACACACACACACACACAGGTGTACATACACACACACAGGTGTACACACAGACACACACACACACAGACACACACACACACACAGGTGTACACCCAGACACACACTCCCACAGGTAGACACACACACACACACACAGGTGTACACACACAGACAGGTGTACACACACACACACACAGGTGTACACACACACAGGTGTACACACACACAGGTGTACACACACACAGGTGTACACACACACACAGGTGTACACACACACACAGGTGTACACACACACAGGTGTACACAGACACAGGTGTACACACACACAGGTGTACACACACAGACAGGTGTACACACACACACAGGTGTACACACACACAGGTGTACACACAGACACACACTCCCACAGGTAGACACACACACACAGGTGTACACACACACAGACAGGTGTACACACACACACAGGTGTACACACACACAGGTGTACACACAGACACACACTCCCACAGGTAGACACACACACACAGGTGTACACACACACACAGGTGTACACACACACAGGTGTACACACACACACACACAGGTGTACACACACACACAGGTGTACACACACAGGTGTACACACAGACAGGTGTACACACAGACAGGTGTACACACAGACAGGTGTACACACTCACACACACACAGGTGTACACACACACAGGTAGACACACACACAGGTGTAGACACACACAGGTGTAGACACACAGACAGGTGTACACAGACACAGGTGTACACACACACACACAGGTGTACACACAGACTCCCACAGGTAGACCCTCACACACACACCCACACAGGTAGACACACACACAGGTGTACACACAGACAGGTGTACACACACACAGGTATACACACACACAGTGTACACACAGAAACTCCCACAGGTAGACACACACACACACACAGACACACACACAGACACACACACACAGGTGTACACACACACAGACAGACACTCCCACAGGTGTACACACACACAGGTGTACACACACACACAGGTGTACACACACACAGGTGTACACACACACACAGGTGTACACACAGACACACACTCCCACAGGTAGACACACACACACACACAGGTGTACATACACACACACAGGTGTACACACAGACACACACACACACAGACACACACACACACACAGGTGTACACCCAGACACACACTCCCACAGGTAGACACACACACACACACAGGTGTACACACACAGACAGGTGTACACACACACACACAGGTGTACACACACACAGGTGTACACACACACACAGGTGTACACACACACACAGGTGTACACACACACAGGTGTACACAGACACAGGTGTACACACACACAGGTGTACACACACAGACAGGTGTACACACACACACAGGTGTACACACACACAGGTGTACACACAGACACACACTCCCACAGGTAGACACACACACACAGGTGTACACACACACACAGGTGTACACACACACAGGTGTACACACACACACACACAGGTGTACATACACACACAGGTGTATACACACACAGACACACACACACAGGTGTACACACACACAGGTGTACACACACACACACACAGGTGTACATACACACACACAGGTGTACACACACACACACAGGTGTACACACACACAGGTGTACACACACACACACACAGGTGTACACACACACACAGGTGTACACACAGACAGGTGTACACACACACACAGGTGTACACAGACACAGGTGTACACACACACACACAGGTGTACACACACACACACACAGGTGTACATACACACACACAGGTGTACACACACACACACAGGTGTACACACACACAGGTGTACACACACACACACACAGGTGTACACACACACACAGGTGTACACACAGACAGGTGTACACACACACACACAGGTGTACACAGACACAGGTGTACACACACACACACACACACAGGTGTACACACACACACACACACAGGTGTACACACAGACAGGTGTACACACACACAGGTGTACACACACACAGGTGTACACACACACACAGGTGTACACACACACAGGTGTACACACACACAGGTGTACACACACACACACACAGGTGTACACACACACACACAGGTGTACACACACACAGGTGTACACACAGACACACACTCCCACAGGTAGACACTCACCTGTGTGAGTCCCCGGCTCCATTCCCTCTGTGAGGTCCTCCAGCCGCGACAGCGTGAGCTGAACATCGCCATCACAGAAGCTGCAACATCAACAACATCAACATCAACAACATCAACAACATCATCAACAACAACATCAACATCATCAACAACATCAACATCATCAACATCATCATCAACATCAACAACATCAACAACATCAACATCATCAACATCTACAACATCAACATCATCAACATCATCAACATCATCATCAACAACAACATCATCAACATCATCAACAACATCAACATCATCAACAACAACATCAACAACATCAACAACATCAACAACAACATCAACATCAACAACATCATCAACATCAACAACATCAACAACATCATCAACAACAACATCAACAACATCAACAACAACATCAACAACATCATCATCAACATCAACAACAACAACAACATCAACAACAACATCAACAACATCATCAACAACAACATCAACAACATCATCAACAACATCAACAACATCAACAACAACATCAACAACATCATCAACAACAACATCAACAACATCATCAACAACATCAACAACATCAACATCATCAACATCAACAACATCAACAACAACATCATCATCATCAACAACATCAACAACATCAACAACATCAACATCATCAACAACATCATCAACAACAACATCAACAACATCAACAACATCAACATCATCAACATCATCATCAACATCATCAACATCAACATCATCATCAACAACAACATCAACAACATCAACAACATCAACAACATCATCATCAACAACATCATCAACATCAACAACATCAACAACATCATCAACAACAACATCAACAACATCAACAACAACATCAACAACATCATCATCAACAACAACATCAACAACAACAACATCAACAACAACATCAACAACATCATCAACAACAACATCAACAACATCATCAACAACATCAACAACATCAACAACAACATCAACATCAACAACATCTACAACATCAACATCATCAACATCATCAACATCATCAACAACAACATCATCAACATCATCAACAACATCAACATCATCATCAACAACATCAACAACATCAACAACATCATCATCAACAACATCATCAACATCAACAACATCAACAACATCATCAACAACAACATCAACAACAACAACAACATCAACAACAACATCAACAACATCATCAACAACAACATCAACAACATCATCAACAACATCAACAACATCAACAACAACATCAACAACATCATCAACAACAACATCAACAACATCATCAACAACATCAACAACATCAACATCATCAACATCAACAACATCAACAACAACATCAACAACAACAACATCATCATCATCAACAACATCAACAACATCAACAACATCAACATCATCAACATCATCAACAACATCATCAACAACAACATCAACAACATCAACAACATCAACATCATCAACATCATCATCAACATCATCAACATCAACATCATCATCAACAACAACATCAACAACATCAACAACATCATCATCAACAACATCATCAACATCAACAACATCATCAACAACAACATCAACAACATCAACAACAACATCAACAACATCATCATCAACAACAACATCAACAACAACAACATCAACAACAACATCAACAACATCATCAACAACATCAACAACATCATCAACAACATCAACAACATCAACAACAACATCAACAACATCATCAACAACAACATCAACAACATCATCAACAACATCAACAACAACAACATCATCAACATCAACAACATCACAACAACATCAACAACAACAACATCATCATCATCAACAACATCAACAACAACATCAACATCATCAACAACATCAAAATCACCATCAACATCACCATCAACATCATCAACAACAACATCGCCATCACAGAAGCTGCAACAACAACAACATCAACATCATCAACATCAACAACATCACCATCAACATCATCAACAACATCAACATCACCATCATCAACATCACCATCACAGAAGCTGCAACAACAACATCAACATCATCAACATCACCTTCAACATCACCATCATCACCAACATCACCATCAACATCACCATCAACATCAACATCATCAACATCACCATCAACATCACTATCAACATCACCATCACCATCAACATCACCATCATCAACATCAACATCATCAACATCACCATCAACATCACCATCAACATCATCATCACCATCAACATCATGAACAACATCACCATCAACATCACCATCAACATCACCATCATCATCACCATCAACAATATCAACATCACCATCAACATCACTATCGACATCACCATCAACATCACCATAATCATCACCATCAACATCACCATCAACGACGTGATGGTAGTGATGGTGATGGTAGTGATGGTGATGGTAGTGATGATGTTGATGGTGAAGATGATAGTAGTGATGTTGGTAGAGATGGTGGTGATAGTGATGGTGTTGAAGGTGTTGATGCTGATGGTGGTGATGATGGTGGTGATGGTGGTGATGGTGATGAAGGTGGTGATGGTGGTGATGATGGTGGTGATGATGATGATGATGGTGATGATGGTGATGATGGTGAGGATGATGGTGATGATGATGGTGGTGGTGGTGATGGTGGTGATGAAGGTGGTGATGGTGGTGATGATGGTGATGATGATGGTGATGATGGTGATGATGTTGATGGTGGTGATGATGGTGATGATGGTGATGATGATGTTGATGTTGTTGATGGTGATGGTGGTGATGGTGATGATGATGATGGTGATGATGATGATGGTGATGATGATGATGGTGGTGATGATGATGGTGATGATGATGGTGGTGATGATGATGATGGTGATGTTGACAGTGATGGTAATGATGGTAATGATGGTGATGTTGACAGTGATGGTAATGATGGTAATGATGGTGATGATGGTGATGATGGTGATGATGATGATGGTGGTGATGATGATGGTGATGATGATGATGGTGGTGATGATGATGATGGTGATGTTGACGGTGATGGTAATGATGGTAATGATGATGACGGTGATGGTGATGATGATGATGATGTTGACGGTGATGGTGATGATGGTGGTGATGATGGTGGTGATGATGGTGGTGATGATGGTGATGATGGTGATGATGATGATGGTGGTGATGATGATGGTGATGATGGTGATGATGGTGATGTTGACGGTGATGGCAATGATGGTAATGATGGTGATGATGATGGTGATGTTGACGGTGATGGTAATGATGGTGATGATGGTGATGATGATGATGGTGATGATACTGATGATGATGATGACGGTGATGATGGTGATAATGATGATGGTAATGATGGTGATGATGGTGATGATGTTACCTCTTCTGCTGGTCGAGATCTCGGAGAATCGATGCGTGGAACGACATCGTCAAGTATCACTACATCCAGCAGACACGGAGAGAGACACGGGGAGAGAGACACGGGAAGAGAGACACGGGGAGAGAGACACGGGGAGAGAGAGACACGGGGAGAGAGAGACACGGGGAGAGAGACACGGGGAGAGACACGGGGAGAGAGAGACACAGTGAGAGAGACACGGGGAGAGAGAGACACGGGGAGAGAGACACGGGGAGAGACACGGGGAGAGAGAGACACAGTGAGAGAGACACGGGGAGAGAGAGACACGGGGAGAGAGACACGGGGAGAGAGAGACACGGGGAGAGAGACACGGGGAGAGAGAGACACGGGGAGAGAGAGACACAGTGAGAGAGACACGGGGAGAGAGACACGGGGAGAGAGAGACACGGGGAGAGAGACACGGGGAGAGAGACACGGGGAGAGAGAGACACGGGGAGAGACACGGGGAGAGAGACACGGGGAGAGAGAGACACGGGGAGAGAGAGACACAGTGAGAGAGTTAACAGACTCAGGGGCTTTCCAGGCAACACTTCCACTTATGAGTTTCAATTCTGAATCAACCACACAGAGACCCACAGACTCACCACACAGAGACCCATAGACTCATCACACAGAGACCCACAGACTCACCACACAGAGACACACAGACTCACCACACAGAGACACACAGACTCACTACACAGAGACCCACAGACTCACCACACAGAGACCCACAGACTCACCACACAGAGACACACAGACTCACCACACAGAAACCCACAGACTCACCACACAGAAACCCACAGACTCACCACACAGAGACCCACAGACTCACCACACAGAGACCCACAGACTCACCACACAGAGACCCACAGACTCACCACACAGAGACCCACAGACTCACTACACAGAGACCCAGGTACTTTCCGGACCTAGATGACGTCATTCAGGAACCACACAACAACACAAAGCTTCCCCTTGTAGCCTCTAGCGGGCAGTAGGGGCAAGTGCTGTCACACACACACACAGTCACTCACCCGCTCACTCACCAACTCACTCAGTCACTCATCCACTCACTCACTCGGCCACTCAATCACCCACTCACTCACGCACTCACTCGCTCAGTCACTCACTCAGTCACTCACCCACTAACTCACTCACTCACCCACCTGCTCACTCACCTACTCACTCACTCACCCACTCACCTACTCACTCACTCACCCACTCACTCACTCACCCACCTGCTCACCCACCCACTCACTCACTCCCCACTCACCCACCTACTCACCCACCAAATCACCCACTCAATCACCCACTCACTCACTCACCCACTCACCCACTCACCCACCTGCTCACCTACTCACCCACTCACTCACCCACCTGCTCACCTACTCACCCACTCACTCACCCACCCACTCACCTACTCACCCACCAAATCACCCACTCACTCACTCACCTATTCACCCACCTGCTCACTCACCTACTCACTCACTCACCCACTCACTCACCCACCCACTCACCTACTCACTCACTCACCTACTCACCCACTCACTCACTCACCCACCTGCTCACCTACTCACCCACTCACTCACCTACTCACCCACCAAATCACCCACTCACTCACCCACTCACTCACTCACCCACTCACTCACTCACCCACTCACTCACTCACTCACCCACTCACTCACCCACTCACCCACTCACTCACCCACTCACCCACCCACTCACTCACTCACCCACTCACTCACCCACTCACCCACTCACTCACCCACTCACTTACTCACTCACCCACTCACTCACCCACCCACTCACCCACTCACCCACCCACTCACCTACTCACTCACTCACCTACTCACCCACTCACTCACTCATCCACCTGCTCACCTACTCACCCACTCACTCATACACCCACTCACCCACCTACTCACTCACTCACCTACTCACCCACCTGCTCACTCACCTACTCACTCACTCACTCACCCACCCACTCACTCACTCACCCACCCACTCACTCACTCACTCACCTACTCACTCACTCACCCACTCACTCACCCACCCACTCACCTACTCACTCACTCACTCACCCACTCACTCACTCACCCACTCACTCACTCACTCACCCACTCACTCACTCACTCACCCACCCACTCACCCACTCACCCACTCACTCACCCACTCACTCACCCACTCACCCACCCACTCACCCACTCACCCACCCACTCACCCACTCACTCACTCACTCACCCACTCCCTCACTCACTCATCCACCCACTCACCCACTCACTCACCCTCTCACTCACTCACTCACCCACTCACTCACCCACTCACCCACTCACTCACTCACCTACTCACTCACTCACTCACCCACTCACTCACCCCCTCACTCACCCACTCACTCACCCACCCACTCACTCACCCACTCACTCACCCACTCACCTACTCACTCACTCACCCACTCACCCACACACCCACTCACTCACCCACTCACTCACTCACTCACTCACCCACCTGCTCACCCACTCACTCACTCACCCACTCACTCACTCACTCACCCACTCACCCACTCACTCACCCACTCACTCACCCTCTCACTCACTCTCTCACTCACCCACTCACTCACCCACTCACTCACTCACCCACCTGCTCACCTACTCACCCACTCACTCACCCACTCACTCACCTACTCACTCACTCACCCCTCACCCACTCACCTACTCACCCACCTGCTCACCTACTCACCCACTCACCCACTCACTCACTCACTCACCCACTCACCCACCCGCTCACTCACCCACTCACTCACTCACTCACCCAATCACTCACTCACTCACTCACCCACTAACTCACTCACTCACCCACTCACTCACCCACTCACTCACTCACCCACTCACTCACTCACCCACTCACTCACTCACCCACCACCTCAGCCGTCTCCCTCTCCACACTGCCACCAGGCAGGCACTCTTCTGGTTGAAGGCTGAGTTCGTGACTCCACCCACTCAGCAGGTAAAGTTGGGGACTTTCCGTCAAATAAAGACAAAGCTCCCCCGTGTAGCCTCGAGCACGATCTAGGGGCAAGTGCTGTTACACAAACACACCCACTCACTCAGCCACTCACTCAGCCACTCACTCAGCCACTCACTCACCCACCACTCACCCACTCACTCACCCACTCACTCAGCCACTCACTCACCCACTCACTCAGCCACTCACTCACCCACTCACTCACCCACTCACTCAGCCACTCAGCCACCCACTCACCCACTCACTCACCCACTCACTCAGCCACTCACTCACCCACTCACCCACTCACTCACTCACTCACCCACCGCTCACCCACTCACTAAGCCACTCACTCACCCACTCACTCACCCACTGACTCGCCCACTCACCTACTCACTCACCCACTCACCTACTCACTCACCCACTCACTCACCCACTCACCTACTCACCCATGCATCCACTTACTCAGCCACTCACTCAACCACTCACTCAGCCACTCACTCACCCACTCACCGACTCACTCACTCACCCATGCATCCACTTACTCAGCCACTCACTCACCCACCTACTCACCTACTCACCCATTCACTCACTCGCTTACTCACCCACTCACTCAACAACTCACCCAGCCACTCACTCACCCACTCACTCACCCACTCACTCAGCCAATACTCACCTCCTCACACCTATACACAGACACCTACACACACACACACAGATACCTACACAGACACCTACACACAGACACTTACGGTACAGACAGACACCTACACACACAACAACAACAACCGCCATTCGCTACTAAGTGGCAGTGACGTCACCACGACGCTTGTGCCAGGCTATGTGCACCTTGAGGCCACGTGGAGTGTCGAACGCCCGCTGGCAGGAGGTCACGGGGCAGACCCAGGTGCCACGGGTCGACTGACTGAGATGACTGGCTGATGCACCACCTGTGCCCCCTACTGTGCCAACCTGCTGTGCTTTAGCCACCCGGCGCTCCGCTCGTTGTTGTGAGCGTCGCTCCTCCGCCCTCCGTTGTTGTTGGAGGGCGACTGCCTCCAACTGCCCAGTAGCGTCCTTCACGAGCCTCCTCCACAGAGGCCGATCTTGACACCGCTGGTACCGGTCATCGGCAAGTCCACTCAGCTCCACATCCTCCTGTACCATGTCACTCCATCTCTTCTTTAGCCCGTTCCGCATCCATTTAGCCCCTCAATCCGGCCGAACAAAAGCTGTTTCGGCATGCGGTGGCTGGGCATGCGGGCTACATGACCCAGCCATCGCAGCCTTGCCTACTGGAGGAGCTCACCGATGGGACCTTGCCCAGATCTTTCGAGGATTGGGAGCTCCTCACACAATCCAGTCTGGTTAAACCCAGGATGGATCGTAGGCAGGCCAGCCTAAATGTTTCTAACCGGCGAAGATGTTCCATTCGGGGGGTCCACGTTTCGCAAGCGTAGAGAAGGGAGGGAATGACCGTGGCCGAGAATACCCGAAGCTTCATGCGGAGCGACAGACCAGGTAGCTTCCACACAGCGCTACGCAACCGATGAAAAGATATTGCCGCTCGACTGATTCGGAGTGAGACCTCTGCTGTTAAACTGGAGCCAGTCATAAGCACACTGCCCAGGTATGGGAAACTCTCCACTCTCTCCACAACTGCGCCATCACCGATTGGGAGTTGTGGGGGTGGAGTGTCTGATGGTACAAAATACCCAGGCAGGTGCTTAGTTTTGGTGGGGCTGATGGTAAGGCCCCATCTCTTAGTGGCACGCTCCAGTCTCAGCAGCAGCGTCTCCAACTCCTCCTCTGAAGGAGCAGCTATTACCAAATCATCGGCATACATAAAGTGGTTGAGCAATAGGGAGCCATCCCTTGACCATACCCGGGCATCGATCAGCCTCCCATTGTATCTGTACGTGATGGAAATTTCTCCGGTACAGCTACTGAAGGCTTCACAAACTACGTGGTCAAAATAGATGTTAAATAATGTGGGAGCCAGAGGACATCTCTGTCGCACCCCAAGGTGTACAGGGAATGGCTCCGACTCCCGGCCACGTAGTTTTACCCGGGCCCGCTCACCATCATGAAGGTCCTTAATGATCGTGAGCAGAGGGTCAGGGACTCCGAAAGCACGAAGAACAACCCAGAGCCCAGGCATACTGATGGTATCATAGGCCTTGGCCAGGTCAATAAAGCAGAGATGTAGGTCTTGTTGGAATTCCCTACACCTCTGCTATAGCAGACGGACAGAAAATATGGCATCTGTGCAGGACCGCCCTTTCCTGAAACTGCATTGGGGCTCCGCAAGCCTCTCCTCAGCGTGCTTGGCAAGGCGATTTTGAATAATCCTTGCCAGGACCTTTCCCGGCACACTGAGGAGTGAGATGCCCCTGTAGTTGTTACAGTCTGTGCGGTCCCCCTTCTTAAAGAGGGGGACCACCAGGGCATTCTTCCAATCCTGCGGAACCTGTCCAGTGGTCCAGACTGTTGTTATGATGTTATATAGGGCAGTCTGTGCACAAACGCCACCCTCCCTCAGCATTTCGCTTGGGAGATCATCTCTGCCCGCTGCCTTTCCTGGTCTCAGACTCCGGATCGCCTTCAGTACTTCCTCAACAGATGGCACCTCAGCCACTCACAGGGGGTGACTTCCTCCTCCACACACACAAATACACACACGCACACAGACACACACACGCATACACCTACACACAGACACCTACATACAGACATCTACATACAGACACCTACATACAGATACCTACATACAGACATCTACATACAGACACTTACATACAGACATCTACATACAGACACCTACATACAGACATCTACATACAGACATCTACATACAGACACCTACATACAGACACCTACAGACATCTACATACAGACACCTACATACAGAGAGATCCCCCATATAGCCTTAACAGACTGTAGGGGCAAGTGCTGTTAGCGAGCACCTATGAAGGCCGGAACGGTACACGAGGGGGTGGGTGGCCAGCACCACGCCCGACCGCCTTTGTCTCCCTAGTGGCAATGTTTACACACCGCACCAGGTACTCATTTGAGGCTGAGTCGACCTAGGGGAGGCCCGGGACCGGTTCAGATAATCGTCACTGGTGTTGGCCGTGAGCGGGAATCGAACCCGGGTCGCCAGGTTCATAGCGCAGCGCGCTAACCGCTACACTACCGCTCCCCACTTACAGACACCTACATACAGACACCTACATACAGACACTACACATACAACAACAACCGCCATTCGCCACTAAGTGGCGGTGACGTCACCACGACGCTTGTGCCAGGCTATGTGCACCCTGAGGCTATCACGTGAAGTGTCGAACGCCCGCTGGCAGGAGGTCACGGGGCAGACCCAGCAGGTGCCACGGGTCGACTGACTGAGATGACTGAGATGACTGGCTGATGCACCACCTGTGCCCCCTACTGTGCCAACCTGCTGTGCTTTAGCCACCCGGCGCTCCGCTCGTTGTTGTGAGCGTCGCTCCTCCGCCCTCCGTTGTTGTTGGAGGGCGACTGCCTCCAACTGCCCAGTAGCGTCCTTCACGAGCCTCCTCCACAGAGGCCGATCTTGACACCGCTGGTACCAGTCATCGGCAAGTCCACTCAGCTCCACGTCCTCCCGTACCACATCACTCCATCTCTTCTCTAGCCCGTGCCGCGCCCGCTTAGCCCCCTCTATCCGGCCAAACAAAAGCTGTTTCGGCATGCGGTGGCTGGGCATGCGGGCTACATGACCCAGCCATCGCAGCCTTGCCTGCCGGAGGAGCTCACCGATGGGACCCTGCCCAGATCTTTCAAGGATTTGTGAGATCTGGGCAGATCTGGACACTTACATACAGACACCTACATACAGACACCTACATACAAACACCTACAGACATCTACATACAGACATCTACATACAGACATCCACATACAGACATTTACATAGACACTTACATACAGACATCTACATACAGACACCTACATACAGACACCTACAGACATCTACATACGGACACCTACATACAGACACCTACAGACATCTACATACAGACACTTACATACAGACATCTACATACAGACACTTACATACAGACATCTACATACAGACACTTACATACAGACATCTACATACAGACACTTACATACAGACATCTACATACAGACACCTACATACAGACACCTACAGACATTTACATACAGACACTTACATACAGACACCTACATACAAACACCTACAGACATCTACATACAGACATCTACATACAGAGATTTACATACAGACATTTACATAAAGACATCTACATACAGACATTTACATACAGACATTTACATACAGACATCCACATACAGACATTTACATAGACACTTACATAGAGACATCTACATACAGACATTTACATACAGACATCTACATACAGTAACTTACATACAGACATCTACATACAGACACTTACATACAGACACTTACATACAGACACTTACATACAGACACTTACATACAGAAATCTACATACAAACACTTACATACAGACATCTACATACAGACATCTACATACAGACACTTACATACAGACATCTACATACAGACACTTACATACAGACACTTACATACAGACATCTACATACAAATACTTACATACAGACACTTACATACAGACACTTACATACAGACACTTACATACAGACACTTACATACAGACACTTACATACAGACATCTACATACAGACACTTACATACAGACACTTACATACACACATCTACATACAGACATCTACATACAGACATTTACATACAGACATCCACATACAGACATTTACATAGACACTTACATACAGACATCTACATACAGACACCTACATACAGACACCTACAGACATCTACATACAGACACCTACATACAGACACCTACAGACATCTACATACAGACACCTACATACAGACACCTACAGACATCTACATACAGACACTTACATACAGACACCTACATACAGACACCTACATACAGACACTTACATACAGACATCTACATACAGACACTTACATACAGACATTTACATACAGACACTTACATACAGACACTTACATACAGACATCTACATACAGACACTTACATACAGACATCTACATACAGACATCTACATACAGACACCTACATACAGACACTTACATACACACATCTACATACAGACACCTACATACAGACACCTACAGACATTTACATACAGACACTTACATACAGACACTTACATACAAACACCTACAGACATCTACATACAGACATCTACATACAGACACTTACATACAGACATCTACATAGACACTTACATACAGACATCTACATACAGACACCTACAGACATCTACATACAGACATCTACATACAGACACCTACAGACATCTACATACAGTAACTTACATACAGACATCTACATACAGACACTTACATACAGACACTTACATACACACACTTACATACAGACATCTACATACAGACATTTACATACGCGCAGTGTCCTCTCCTCTGTGACGCTGCTGTCGCCTGCGACGTTGAAGCGACTGCTTGGAAATCCCCTAGCTACGGGGCGGGGCCCAGTGAAGGGAGGGGGCGTGGCCGGGAAAGGGGCGGGGAGATGACCATATTTGGTGAAGGTGTGGGAGAGTGGCCGAGGGTGAGAATGGGCGTATCCATACCCTTATAAGGTGAGAGGGCGTGGTTACGCGGCACGTGGTGACGGAGGGTGGGATACGGGTTGTTAGGAGGCGTGGCCATGCCCTTATATGGTGAGGGCATGTCTGCCTGCCACTACGAAGCGTAATCTTGGGTTCTTTCGTTGAAGTCACGTGGATGGGTTAAAGTAAAATGACAAAATAAATAACAGAAACCCCCCACGACGTTTCGATCACAACACAAGCGGCCTTCATCAGGCGGAGAGGAGAGGGGGCGGGACCGAAACGCTTTATTATTTGAACCCAACCACGTGACTTTACCCAAAGACCCAACGATGATGTCACGCCAAAAACTTTAAGTCAAGATTCATACTCTACTTTAAACTTACACACTAATATACTCTAATATACATTTACACTATACACTACTCACTAATATACACTACTATACACTTATACACTACTCACTAATATACACTTATACTACTATACACTACTCACTAATATACTCTACTATAAACTTACACATTACTCACTAATATACACTTACACTATACACTTATACACTACTCACTAATATACACTACTATACACTTATACTATACACTACTCACTAATATACACTACACTACTATACACTATACACTACTATACACTTATACTATACACTACTCACTAATATACACTACACTACTATACACTATACACTTATACACTACTCACTAATATACACTACTATACACTTATACTATACACTACTCACTAATACATACTACTCACTAATATACACTACTCACTACTATACACTACTATACACTACTATAAACTTACACACTACTCACTAATATACACTTACACTACTCACTAATATACACTACTATACACTACTATACACTACACTACTATACACTACACTACTATACACTACTATACACTACACTACTATACACTACTATACACTACACTACTATACACTACTCACTAATATACACTTACACTACTCACTAATATACACTACTATACACTACTATACACTACACTACTATACACTACACTATACACTACACTACTATACACTACTATACACTACACTACTATACACTACTATACACTACTCACTAATATACACTATACTACTATACACTACTATACACTACACTACTATACACTATACACTAATATACACTATACTACTATACACTACTATACACTATACTCTACTATAAACTAGACACTACTCACTAATATACACTACTATACACTAATATACATTACTCACTAATATACACTACTCACTAATATACTCTACTATAAACTTACACTACTCACTAATATACACTATACACTACTATACACTACTATACAATATACTCTACTATAAACTTACACACTATACACTAATATACACTACTATACACTTACACTACTCACTAATATACACTATACTCTACTATACACTACAATACACTACTATACACTACTATACACTATACTCTACTATAAACTTACACACTACTCACTAATATACACTACTCACTAATATACACTACTATACACTACTATACACTACTCACTAATATACACTATACACTACTATACACTATACTCTACTATAAACTTACACACTACTCACTACTATACACTACTCACTAATATACACTATACACTACTATACACTATACTACTATACACTACTATACACTATACTCTACGATAAACTTACATACTACTCACTAATATACACTACTCACTACTATACACTACTATACACTTACACTACTCACTGATATACACTACACTACTATACACTACTATACACTATACTCTACTATAAACTTACACATTACTCACTAATATACACTACTATAAACTTATACTATACACTACTATACACTACACTACTATACACTACTATACACTATACTACTATACACTTACACTATACTATACACTACACAACTATACACTATACTACTATACACTTACACTACTATACACTACACTAGTATACACTACACTACTATACACTACACTACTATACACTAAACTACTATACACTACACTACTATACACTACACTACCATACACTACACTACTATACCCTACACTATACACTACACTACTATACACTACACTACTATACACTACTATACACTATACTACTATACACTATACTACAATACACTACACTATACACTACACTACTATACACTACACTACTATAAACTTACACACTACACTACTATACACTATACTACTATACACTACACTAATATACACTACACTATACACTACACTACTATACACTACACTACTATACACTACCCTATTATACACATCTCACAGGGTCCAATGATCGAACCCAAACCTCCTGTATACGAGGCGAGGTAGTCAACATCTCACAGGGTCCAGGGATCGAACCCACGACCTCCTGTGTACCAGGCGAGGTAGTCAACATCTCACAGGGTCCAGGGATCGAACCCACAACCTCCTGTGTACCAGGCGAGGTAGTCAACATCTCACAGGGACCAGGGATCGAACCCACGACCTCCTGTGTACCAGGCGAGGTAGTCAACATCTCACAGGGACCAGGGATAGAACCCACGACCTCCTGTGTACCAGGCGAGGTAGTCAACATCTCACAGGGTCTAGAGATAGAACCCACGACCTCCTGTGTACCAGGCGAGGTAGTCAACATCTCACAGGGTCTAGGGATCGAACCCGCGACCTCCTGTGTACCTGGCGAGGTAGTCAACATCTCACAGGGTCCAGGTATCGAACCCACGACCTCCTGTTCACCAGGCGAGGTAGTCAACATCTCACAGGGTCCAGGGATCGAACCCACGACCTCCTGGGTATCAGGCGAGGTAGTCAACATCTCACAGGGTCCAGGGATCGAACCCACGACCTCCTGGGTACCAGGCGAGGTAGTCAACATCTCCTAATTTGCATCAATGGGAGGGGTGCTGGAAATCCCCGTCATGTAAACAGTTTCATTTCCACCACAGACTCACCACACAGAGACACACAGACTCACCACAGAGACCCACAGACTCACCACACGGAGACCCACAGACTCACCACACAGAGACCCACAGACTCACCACACAGAGACTCACAGACTCACCACACAGAGACCCACAGACTCACCACACAGAGATCCACAGACTCACCACACAGAGACCCACAGACTCACCACACAGAGACCCACAGACTCACACAGAGACCCACAGACTCACTACACGGAGACCCACAGACTCACCACACAGAGACCCACAGACTCAACACACAGAGCCCCACAGACTCAACGCACAGAGACCCATAGACGCACTACACAGAGACCCACAGACTCACCACACAGAGACACATAGACTCAACACACAGAAACCCATAGACTCACTACACAGAGACCCACAGACTCATCACACAGAGACCCACAGACTCACCACACAGAGACCCACAGACTCAACACACAGAGACCCACAGACTCACTACACAGAGACCCAAAAACTCACCACACAGAGACCCACAGACTCACCAAACAGAGACCCATAGACTCACCACACAGAGACCCACAGACTCAACACACAGAGACCCATAGACTCACTACACAGAGACCCACAGGCTCACCACACAGAGACCAATAGACTCACCACACAGAGACCCATAGACTCAACACACAGAGACCCAGAGACTCACCACATAGAGAACCATAGACTTACACAGAGACCCATAGACTCACACAGAGACCCATAGACTCACACAGAGACACACAGACTCACCACACAGAGGCCCACGGACTCACTACACAGAGACCCACAGACTCAACACACAGAGACCCACAGACTCTCCACACAGAGACCCACAAACTTAAACAGAGACCCATAGACTCACCACATAGAGACCCATTGACTCACCACACGGAGACCCATAGACTCACCACACAGAGACCCATAGACTCACCACACAGAGACCCAAAGACTCACCACACAGAGACCCACAGACTCACCACACAGAGACCCACAGACTCAACACACAGAGACCCACAGACTCACCACACAGAGACCCATAGACTCACCACACAGAGACCAATAGACTCAACACACAGAGACCCACAGACTCACACAGAGACCCACAGACTCACCACACAGAGACCAATAGACTCACCACACAGAGACCTATAGACTCAACACACAGAGACCCATAGACTCACTACACAGAGACCCACAGACGCACCACACAGAGACCCACAGACTCACCACACAGAGATCCACAGACTCTCCACACAGAGACCCATAGACTCACCACATAGAGACCCATTGACTCACCACACAGAGACCCATAGACTCACCACACAGAGACCCATAGACTCACCACACAGAGACCCACAGACTTACACAGAGACCCACAGACTCACCACACAGACCCATAGACTCACTTACACAGAGACTCACAGACTCACCACACAGAGACTCATAGACGCACCACACATAGACCCATAGACTCACCACACAGAGACTCATAGACTCACCACATAGAGCCCCATAGACTCACTACACAGAGACCCATAGACTCACTACACAGAGACCCACAGACTTATACAGAGACCCATAGACTCACCACACAGAGACCCATAGACTGACTTACACAGAGACTCACAGACTCACCACACAGAGACTCATAGACTCACCACACAGAGACCCATAGACTCACCACACAGAGACTCATAGACTCACCACACAGAGACCCATAGACTCACTACACAGAGACCCACAGACTCACCACACAGAGACCCACAGACTCACCACACAGAGACTCATAGACTCACCACACAGAGACCCATAGACTCACCACACAGAGACTCAAGACTAACTACACAGAGACCCATAGACTCACCACGCATGGGTCTCTGTTGGTGTCTATGGGTCTCTATGGGTCTCTTGAGACTCAATGAGTTTCTGTGGGTCTCTATGAGACTCTGTGGGTTTCTTTGAGTATCGGACTCTGTTGGTCTGTATGGGTCTCTGTGGGTGTATATGGGTCTCTATGGGTCTCTGTGGGTCTCTATGAGACTCTATGAGTCTCTGTGGGTGCCTATGGGTCTCCATAAGTCTCTGTGGGTGTCTATGGGTCTCTATGGGTCTCTGTGGGTCTCTGTGGGTGTCTATGGGTCTCTATGGGTCTCTGTGGGTCTCTGTGGGTGTCTATGGGTCTCTATGGGTCTCTGTTAGTCTCTGTGGGTGTCTGTGGGTCTCGATGAGTCTCTGTGGGTCTCTATGGGTCTCTATGGGTCTCTGTGTGTCTCTGTGGGTGTCTGTGGGTCTCTATGAGTATGGGTCTCTGTTGGTCTGTATGGGTCTCTATGGGTCTCTGTTGGTCTGTATGGGTCTCTGTGGGTGTATATGGGTCTCTGTGGGTCTCTGAGTCTCTGTGGGTGTCTATGGGTCTCTATGGATCCATTTGAGACTCTATGAGTCTCTGTGGGTGTCTATGGGTCTCTATGGGTCTCTGTGGGTGTCTATGGGTCTCTATGAGACTCTATGAGTCTCTGTGGGTCTTTGTGGGTCTCTATGGGTCTCTATGAGTCTCTGTGGGTCTCTAGGGGTCTCTATGGGTCTCTGTGGGTCTCTGTGGGTGTCTATGGGTCTCTATGAGTCTTTTGTGGGTGTCTATGGATCTATTTGAGACTCTATGAGTCTCTGTGGGTGTCTATGGGTCTCTATGGGTCTCTGTGGGTGTCTATGGGTCTCTATGAGACTCTGTGGGTGTCTATGAGTCTCTGTAGGTGTCTATGGGTCTCGATGAGTTGTGTGGGTGTCTATGGGTCTCTATGGGTCTCTATGAGACTCTATGGGTCTCTATGGGTCTCTATGAGACTCTATGAGTCTCTGTGGTTGTCTATGGGTATCTATGAGTCTCTATGGGTATCTATGAGTCTCTGTGGGTCTCTATGAGTCTCTGTGGGTGTCTATGGGTCTCTATGAGTCTCTGTGGGTCTCTATGAGACTCTATGAGTCTCTGTGGGTGTCTATGGGTCTCTATTAGACTCTATGAGTCTCTGTGGGTGTCTATGGGTCTCTATGAGACTCTATGAGTCTCTGTGGGTGTCTATGGGCCAGGTCGCCTGTCTAACCCAAGAGCTGTACAGCAGCTCTGTAGGACCTGGCACGTGCTAACAATGTTTACAATTTTTATTTAAAGCTTTCGTGACTGCAGGGATTCATATTCTTGGTTCTTTCGATAAAGTCACCACGTCGAATGGAAACAATAAAATAATAACAATATAAAACAATATTTTTATTGACATCATTTTATTGTTTTATATATATTTTTTACTATTTTATTGTTTCCCTTCTACGTTACTTTACCGAAAGAACCGAGAATATGTTTACAATGTCCTAAAATCGAATTCTTATCAGGCACCCGCGTTGTCAACTCGTGCAGCCCGCAACTCTCATCGTCCACTCTGGCCTCTCCCTGGGTGTCATGAAGAGGGTCCATTGCCAAAAACGTCGAATTCACTGCAGTTTCAGACATCCCCCCCATTGCCCATCATGGCCGCCGTAGAGGAGTTCACTTCCGTTGCCACCCCTAACCAACATGGCCGCCTCCAACTTGCTCCTTATTGGTTAACAGTGGGGGGGGGGAGTCAAAGGTCGTGCCACATCTGCGCCCTCTCGCCCGTCCTAACTTCCGTCCCCCCCCCCGTCTTTCCCCAGTCGTCACTTCCGTTCCCCCCGTCCCCCGTCGTCAGTTCCGCCCCCCCCTCTCTCCATCAAACTTGCGTCCCCCCCCCACCACCCCTTCATATCGTCACTTCCGTTTCCACCCCCTACTCAAACATGGCCGCCTGCAACTTCTTCTCCATTGGTTAACACCCGAAAGGCGGGTGCCGGTCAACTTCGCTTGATCGTCACTTCCGTTTCCATCCACCCTACCCAATATGGCCGCCAGAAAAAGCAAAAAAAACTTCCTCCCCCCCCGTTGGTTAACAGCCGTGTGGCGTGCAGGAGGTCAAAGGTCGCGCTCCTTACCCAAGATGGCCACCACGATACAAACCACTTCATAAGCGTTTCTATCTGCTCGCCGCAACAACAACCACAACAACCACAACAACCACAACCACAACAACCACAACCACCACCATGTCGGACAACAACAACCAGCAGCAGCAGCAGCCGCGTCTACAGCGCATCGTCAACAACAACAACAACAACCTGAACATCAACAACAACAACGTGGCCGCTAACGGCGCCGCCAATCCGCTTATGAATGTTCGTGATCGCCTCTTCCATGCACTCTTCTTTAAGATGGCAGTGGCCTACAGCCGGCTGCTGTCACCCGCCTGGCGCAGGCTGCTCGAGTTCACCGTCCTGCTCGCGGTGAGGGCGTGGTGGTGATGGTGGTGGTTGTGGTGGTGGTGGTTGTGGTGGTGATGGTGATGGTGGTGATGGTGGTGGTGGTTGTGGTGATGGTGGTGGTGATGGTGGTTGTGGTGGTGATGGTGATGGTGGTGATGGTGGTGGTGGTTGTGGTGATGGTGGTGGTGGTTGTGGTGGTGATGGTGGTGGTGGTGATGGTGGTGGTGGTGGTTATGGTGGTGGAGGTGGTGGTGGTGATGATGATGGTGGTGGTTGTGGTGGTGGTGGTGGTGATGGTGATGGTGGTTGTGGTGGTGATGGTGGTGGTGGTGATGGTGGTGGTGATGGTGGTTGTGGTGATGGTGGTGGTGGTTGTGGTGGTGGTGGTTGTGGTGGTGGTTGTGGTGGTTGTGGTGGTGGTGGTTGTGGTGGTGGTTGTGGTGGTGATGGTGGTGGTGATGGTGGTTGTGGTGATGGTGGTGGTGGTTGTGGTGATGGTGGTGGTGATGGTGGTGGTGATGGTGGTGGTTGTGGTGGTGTTGGAGGTGGTGGTGGTGATGGTGGTGGTTGTGGTGGTTGTGGTGGTGATGGTGGTGGTGGTGGTGGTTGTGGTGATGGTGGTGGTTGTGGTGGTTGTGGTGATGGTGGTGGTGGTGGTGATGGTGGTGGTGGTGGAGGTGGTGGTGATGGTGGTGGTTGTGGTTGTGGTGGTGGTGGTGGTGATGGTGGTGGTGGTGGTGGTTGTGGTGATGGTGGTGGTGGTTGTGGTGATGGTGGTTGTGGTGGTGGTTGTGATGGAGGTGGTGGTGGTGGTGGTTGTGGTGATGTTGGTGATGGTGGTGGTTGTGGTGGTGGTGATGGTCGTGGTGGTGATGGTGGAGGTGGTGATGGTGGTTGTGGTCTTGGTTGAGGTGGTGGTTGAGGTGATAGTTGTGATTGTGGTGGTGGTTGTGGTGGTGTTGGAGGTGGTCGTGGTGGTGGTGATGGTGGAGGTGGTGATGGTGGATGTTGAGGTGGTGGTGGTTGTGGTGGTGTTGGAGGTGGTCGTGGTGGTGATGGTGGTGGTGGTGCAGGTGGTCGTGGTGGTGATGGTGGTGGAGGTGATGATGTATGTTGAGGTGATGGTGGTGAAGGTTGTGATAGTTGTGAAGGTGGTCGTGATGCAGTTGAGTGGGTGGGTGGTTGAGTGAGTGAGTGGGTTGGTGAGTGGGAGAGTGAGTGGGTGGGTGAGTGGGAGAGTGGGTGGGTGAGTGGGTGGGTGAGTGGGTAGGTGAGTGGGAGAGTGAGTGGGAGAGTGAGTGGGTGAGTGGGTGGGTGGTTGAGGGGGTGGGTGGTTAAGTGGGTGGGTGGGTGGGCGAATGAGTGGGTGGGCGAGTGGGTGGGTGAGTGGATGGGTGAGTGGGTGGGTGAGTGGGTTGGTGAGTGGGTGAGTGAGTGGGTGGGTGGTTGAGGGGGTGGGTGGTTAAGTGGGTGGGTGGGTGAGTGGTTGGGTGAGTGGGTGGGATGCTGCTGTTGTTAATGTTGATGTTGTTGTTGTTGATGTTGTTAATGTTGATGTTGTTGATGTTGTTGTTGATGTTGTTGATGTTGTTGTTGATGTCCAGGCCCTGCTGCTCCTCTCCACGCTGGTGTACATCCACGCCGCGTTCTCACGCTCTCCGTCCCTCTGCCTGCTGTCCGTTCGCGACCGCTGGCCCCGCGATGGAATCCTCCGAGTTCAAATCTCCCGTGGCGGTGGGGGGCTCACTAGTGGGGGGGTGCTGGTGGGTGGAGGTGGTGGGGGGAACTCCGCCACCACCCCAACATTTCCTGCTGATGGAGACGATTTGGTGGGGTTCCTGTCGCCGGAGGGAGACGCGGGGAAGATCCTCGCTCCGGAGGGAGACGCGGGGACACGGAGATCTCCGGAGGGAGACACGGGGACGCTGAGATCTCCGGAGGGAGACACGGGGACACGGAGATCTCCGGAGGGAGACACGGGGACGCTGAGATCTCCGGAGGGAGACACGGGGACACGGAGATCTCCGGAGGGAGACACGGGGACGCTGAGATCTCCGGAGGGAGACACGGGGACGGGGTTGTCTCCGGAGGGAGACACGGGGACGCTGAGATCTCCGGAGGGAGACACGGGGACGCTGAGATCTCCGGAGGGAGACACGGGGACGCTGAGATCTCCGGAGGGAGACACGGGGACGGGGTTGTCTCCGGAGGGAGACACGGAGACACTGAGAACTCCGGAAGGAGACGCGGGGACGCTGAGATCTCCGGAGGGAGACACGGGGACGAGGTTGTCTCCGGAGGGAGACATGGGGACACTGAGAACTCCGGAGGGAGACACAGGGATGGGGTTGTCTCTGGAGGGAGATACGGGGACGCTGAGAACTCCGGAGGGAGACACAGGGATGGGATTGTCTCCGGAGGGAGATACGGGGACGGGGTTGTCTCTGGAGGGAGACACGGGGACGGGGTTGTCTCCGGAGGGAGACGCGGGGACGGGGTTGTCTCCGGAGGGAGATACGGGGACGCTGAGAACTCCGGAGGGAGACACGGGGATGGATTTATCTCCAGAGAGAGACACGGAGACAAGGTTGTCTCCGGAGGGAGACACGGAGACACGGAGATCTCCAGAGGGAGACACGGGGATGGATTTATCTCCAGAGGGAGACACGGAGACAAAGCTCTCTCCGGAGGGAGATACGGGGACGGGGTTGTCTCCGGAGGGAGACACGGAGACACGGAGATCTCCGGAGGGAGACACGGGGATGGATTTATCTCCAGAGGGAGACACGGGGACAAGGCTGTCTCCGGAGGGAGACACGGGGACACGGAGATCTCCGGAGGGAGACACGGGGACACGGAGATCTCCGGAGGGAGACACGGGGACACGGAGATCTCCGGAGGGAGACACGGGGACACGGAGATCTCCGGAGGGAGACACGGGGACACGGAGATCTCCGGAGGGAGACGTGGGGACCCAGGTTGGTGTTTGTCTTCCCTTTCTCATCCCCGTCACCCAATAATCATTCTCTGCAAGATTGTAACACAACAACAACAACACAACAACAACAACCGCCATTCGCCACTAAGTGGCGGTGACGTCACCACGACGCTTGTGCCAGGCTATGTGCACTCACACACATACACTCGCAAACACACACTCACATACACACTCGCACACACACACATACACACACACTCACACACACACACATATACACACACATACACACACAACAACAACAACAACCGCCATTCGCAACCAAGTGGCGGTGACGTCACCACGACGCTTGTGCCAGGCTATGTGCACCCTGAGGCTATCACGTGAAGTGTCGAACGCCCGCTGGCAGGAGGTCACGGGGCAGACCCAGGTGCCACGGGTCGACTGACTGAGATGACTGAGATGAGTGGCTGATGCACCACCTGTGCCCCCTACTGTGCCAACCTGCTGTGCTTTAGCCACCCGGCGCTCCGCTCGTTGTTGTGAGCGTCGCTCCTCCGCCCTCCGTTGTTGTTGGAGGGCGACTGCCTCCATCACCCTCTCACCCCCTGTGTTGTGCTTTAGTGGTGCTTAGTGCTAACGGCACTTGCCCCTACAGTGTGTGTGAGGCTACACGGGGGACCTTTGTCTTTGTGCTCTTGTGATGTAGACTCACCTGGCTGTTGATGGTGACGATGGTGACGACGACGATGATGAAGAAGATGAGCTAAGCGTAGAGATGTTTGGGAATCAATCTATAAAGGTGAGGTGGGAATGGTGGTGATGGTGGTGGTGATGGTGGTGGTGGGGATGGTGGCGGTGGTGGCGGTGGTGGCGGTGGTGGTGATGGTGGTGGTGATGGTGGTGGTGGTGGTGATGGTGGTGGTGGTGGTGGTGATGGTGGTGGTGGTGGTGATGGTGGTGGTGGTGGTGGTGATGGTGGTGATGGTGGTGGTGGTGATGATGGTGATGGTGGTGGTGATGGTGGTGGTGATGATGGTGATGGTGGTGATGATGGTGATGGTGGTGGTGATGGTGGTGGTGATGGTGGTGGTGATGGTGGTGATGGTGATGATGATGGTGGTGATGGTGATGGTGGTGGTGATGGTGGTGGTGGTGGTGATGGTGGTGGTGATGGTGGTGGTGATGGTGGTGGTGGTGGTGGTGATAATGGTGGTGATGGTGGTAGTAGTGATGGTGGTGATGGTGGTCCGGCAAAACAACCCACTACCTCTTCATTGGTCCTGGACGGTAACTCTGTGGTGAGCAGTGCCAAGAGGGGAGGGCCAATTCCGATTGGCCATTCCCCTCATGGCGTTTGTAGCCACCACCACCACCACAGGGGCTAAACGGGGGCTCTGGACGGGTGCGAGGGGCTGGTAACCCCTCCACCTTCAATTAATTACCACTAAACCACGAAAAAAATATCAAACAAAGCTTGTGCCGGAGGCCCCGGGGGGCCAGGCGTCTATGACGTCTCCTGGCCAAACCCCAATTGGCGGAGCCAGGAGATTGAATCTCTACCCTCGGGGCTACTCCAGAAACAACGAAAAGCCACTTCGTGTGGCCACGTGGAATGTTCGAACGCTCACTGCGGAGGAGAGGCTGCCACTCCTCTGTCGGGAGCTGGACCGGTACCGCCTGGATCTATGTGGCATTCAGGAGGTCCGGTGGACCGGCTCTGGCTCCTGCCACCATGAGGGGTGGACAGTCCTCTACTCGGGGCAGCAGACTGCCAAACAACAGGGTGTGGCTCTTTTGTACAAAAGAATGAAGGTGGCATGGGAGCGTGGCGGTGAGGTGTGGGAAGCTGTAAGCCCCAGGCTACTTTGGGCTCGCATTCCCATCAACCGGAGGTGAGGAGTGGTGGTCGTGGTTACTTATGCCCTCACCGAAGATGAACATCCGTGGAGGGATGCAGGCAAGGCCGATGAGTCAGATGCCTTCTATGACCTCCTGTCACAGGTGCTGGCTAAAGTGGCCCCTCGGGATAGAGTCATCATGTTGGGTGAATTCAATGCCCGAGTTGGTCATGATACTGGCACCTGGTCTGGAGTGAATGGAGGGCATGGGCCAGATCAACTCAATAACAACGGTAGGAGGCTGCTAGATTTTTGTGCAGCCCATGGGCTTGTAATAACCAACACGCTGTTCCAGCATCGGCGCATCCACACAACATCATGGATGCATGCCGGGTCCAAGCAAGAACATCTGCTGGACTACATAGTGACGGACCAGCGAATGCGAGCCCATGTCCTTGACACCAGGACCTACCGTGGAGCTGATCTGCCCTCTGACCATCGACTAGTCATCTGTAAGATGCGCCTGCCATTCTTCCACTCCGGTGGTGGGTGTACACCCAGGACCCCATTCCAACCTAAAGTGGCCTGGTCTCAGCTAGTTGATGAAAGTTGCAAGCGAGAATTTCATCATCGCTTGCGGCTGGGATTGGCATCGTCCCCCACTCCTCCTGATGTCGAGGGTAAATGGGCGAGGTTTAGGACTGTGACTCATGCAGCTGCAATGGCTGCTTTGGATACGTGGTCCAGACCTCCCCAGAGACCCTGGCTGGCAGAGGGGGTGTTCGTTCAAGCTGGCTGAGAAAAAGCGACAGGCCCACTGTCATCGGCTACAGAATCCCACGTCAGAGAATGAGGAGGCTTACCGCAGCCTTCGCTCGGAGGTTCGGAGAGCCGTGAGGCGCTGCAAGGATGGGTGGTGGTCGCGGGTTGCTGAGGAGATGGAGTCTGCCTCAGTGGCCCGTGATCACAAATCTCTATTTAATTCCATCAAAAAAGTAACCTGCAGCACCACACCTATTACCATCATTAGGGGAAAGAACGGTTATCCAATCTCCGACCCCAAGGAAGAGGTTTTCAGATTTGCTGAGCGTTTCTGTGAGGTCCTGGGGGAGGGAAAATCCCTGGAAAACATCGTGGGAGAAAGTGGGAATGACCCTGCTGAGGCTGCAGTGCCTCAAATATTGGAAGAAGAAGTCACCCCCTGTGAGTGGCTGGCTGAGGTGCCATCTGTTGAGGTAGTACTGAAGGCGATCCGGAGTCTGAGACCAGGAAAGGCAGCGGGCAGAGATGATCTCCCAAGCAAAATGCTGAGGGAGGGTGGCGTTTGTGCACAGACTGCCCTATATGACATCATAACAACGGTCTGGACCACTGGACGGGTTCCGCAGGATTGGAAGGATGCCCTGGTGGTCCCCCTCTTTAAGAAGGGGGACCGCACAGACTGTAACAACTACAGGGGCATCTCACTCCTCAGTGTGCCGGGAAAGGTCTTGGCAGGGATTATTCAGCATCGCCTTGCCAGGCACGCTGAGGAGAGGCTTGCGGAGCCCCAATGCGGTTTCAGGAAAGGGCGGTCCTGCACAGATGCCATATTGTCTGTCCGTCTGCTACAGCAGAGGTGTAGGGAATTCCAACAAGACCTACATCTCTGCTTTATTGACCTGGTCAAGGCATATGATACCATCAGTAGGCCTGGGCTCTGGGTCGTTCTTCGTGCTTTCGGAGTCCCTGACCTGGGTGGGTGAGTGGGTGGGTGGGTGAAATGACCTCTGTAATGATGCTGATGATGATGTTACTGATGTTGATGATGTTGATGTTGTTGTTGATGATGATGATGATGTTGATGATGATGTTGATGTTGTTGAAGATGATGTTGTTGATGTTGTTGAAGATGATGTTGATGTTGTTGATGTTGTTGGTGATGATGTTGTTTATGTTGTTGATGATGTTGATGATGTTGTTGATGATCTTTTGTTTTTGATGTTGATGATGATGATGTTGATGATGATGTTTTTGATGATGTTGATGATGTTGATGTTGTTGATGATGTTTTGTTGATGATGATGTTGATGTTGATGTTGTTGATGTTGTTGTATTGTTGATGATGTTGATGATGATGTTGTTGATGTTGATGATGATGTTGATGTTGTTGATGATGTTGATGATGATGTTGTTGATGTTGTTGACCTTGATGATGTTGATGTTGATGATGTTGATGTTGTTGACCTTGTTGATGATGTTGATGTTGTTGACTTTGTTGTTGATGATGCTGATGTTGTTGATGTTGTTGATGATGTTGAAGATGTTGATGATGTTGTTGTTGACCTTGTTGATGATGTTGATGTTGTTGATGTTGATTATGATGTTGATGTTGTTGACTTTGTTGATGTTGTTGTTGATGTTGATGTTGTTGATGTTGTTGACTTTGTTGTTGTTGATGATGTTGTTGATGTTGTTGATGATATTGTTGTTGTTGACTTTGTTGATGTTGTTGATGATGTTGTTGTTGATGTTGTTGTTGTTGACGGTAGTTTGATTTGGAGTTGCATCCTCAAACCAATCAGGAGGCTCTGACCGCCACCGAGTCGGCCAATCAGAACGCAGCGCAGCAGCCGCTCCCTTCCACTGCAGATGGAGAGGGCACACAAGGTGAGTCACGTGGTGAGTCACGTGGTGAGTCACGTGGTGAGTCACGTGGTGAGTCACGTGGTGAGTGACGTGGTGGGTCACGTGGTGAGTCACGTGGTGAGTCACGTGGTGAGTCACGTGGTGAGTCACGTGGTGAGTCACGTAGTGAGTGACGTGGTGAGTCACGTGGTGAGTGACGTGGTGAGTGACGTGGTGAGTCACGTGGTGAGTCACGTGGTGAGTCACGTGGTGAGTCACGTGGTGAGTCACGTGGTGAGTGACGTGGTGAGTCACGTGGTGAGTCACGTGGTGAGTCACGTGGTGAATCACTCACCACGTGACTCACCACTCACTCACTGACCACTCACTCACTCACTCACCCACTCACTCACTCACAACTCACTCACCCACTCACCACTCACTCACTCACTCACCCACTCACTCACCACTCACTCACCCACTCACCACTCACTCACCACTCACTCACCACCCACTCACTCACCACTCACTCACTCACTCACCACTCACTCACTCACCACTCACTCACCACTCACTCACTCACCCACTAACTCACTCACTGACCACTCACCACTCATTCATCACTCACTCACTCATCACTCACTCACCATTCACTCACCACTCACTCATCACTCACTCACTCATCACTCACTCACCATTCACTCACCACTCACTCATCACTCACTCACCCACTCACCACTCACTCACCACTCACTCACTCACCCACTAACTCACTCACTCACCATTCACTCACCACTCACTCATCACTCACTCACCCACTCACCACTCACTCACCACTCACTCACCACTCACACAAGGTGAGTCATGTGGTGAGTCACTCACCACGTGACTCACCACTCACTCACCACTCACACAAGGTGAGTCACGTGGTGAGTCACTCACCACTCACTCACCACTCACACAAGGTGAGTCACGTGGTGAGTCACTCACCACGTGACTCACCACTCACCACGATCACCACTCATTACCTCCACGCTCACCACTCACCACCCTCCACTCTCTAGAGTGTGTGTGTGTATCTGTGTGTGTGTGTCTGTGTGTATGTGTGTCTGTGTGTGTGTGTATCTGTGTGTGTGTGTATGTATCTGTGTGTGTGTGTATGTATCTGTGTGTGTGTGTGTATCTGTGTGTGTGTATCTGTGTGTGTATCTGTGTGTATGTGTGTCTGTGTGTGTGTGTATCTGTGTGTGTGTGTGTGTGTGTATCTGTATGTGTGTCTGTGTGTGTGTGTATCTGTGTGTGTGTGTGTATCTGTGTGTGCATCTGTGTGTATCTGTATCTGTGTGTGTGTATCTGTGTGTGTATCTGTATCTGTGTGTGTGTATCTGTGTGTGTGTGTATCTGTGTGTGTGTGTATATCTGTGTGTGTATATCTGTGTGTGTGTGTGTATCTGTGTGTGTGTGTACCTGTGTGTGTGTATCTGTGTGTATCTGTGTGTGTATCTGTGTGTATCTGTGTGTGTATCTGTGTGTATCTGTGTGTGTGTCTGTGTGTGTGTGTGTATCTGTGTGTGTGTGTATCTGTGTGTGTGTACCTGTGTGTGTGTCTGTATGTGTGTATCTGTGTGTGTGTATGTATCTGTGTATCTGTGTGTGTATCTGTGTGTGTATCTGTGTGTATGTATCTGTGTGTGTGTATACTGTATCTGTGTGTATGTATCTGTGTGTGTGTGTACTGTATCTGTGTGTATGTATCTGTGTGTGTGTGTACTGTATCTGTGTATGTGTGTATCTGTGTAGGGGAGTACGTGGTGGAGTACTCACTGGAGTACGTGTATCTGTGTGTGTGTGTATCTGTGTGTGTATCTGTGTGTGTGTGTGTATCTGTGTGTGTGTATCTGTGTGTACTGTGTGTATCTGTGTGTGTGTACTGTGTGTATCTGTGTGTGTATGTAGGTGAGTATGTGGTGGAGTACTCTCTGGAGTACGGGTTCCTGTGTGTGTGTATCTGTGTGTATGTATCTGTGTGTATGTGTGTGTATCTGTGTGTGTGTAGGTGAGTATGTGGTGGAGTACTCTCTGGAGTACGTGTATCTGTGTGTGTATCTGTGTGTGTGTATCTGTGTGTGTGTACTGTGTGTGTGTATCTGTGTGTATCTGTAGGTGAGTATGTGGTGGAGTACTCTCTGGAGTACGGGTTCCTGTGTGTGTGTATCTGTGTGTATCTGTGTGTATCTGTGTGTGTGTATCTGTGTGTGTGTATCTGTGTGTACTGTGTGTATGTATCTGTGTGTGTGTATCTGTGTGTGTGTACTGTGTGTATCTGTGTGTGTGTATCTGTGTGTGTGTACTGTGTGTGTGTATCTGTGTGTATCTGTAGGTGAGTATGTGGTGGAGTACTCTCTGGAGTACGTGTATCTGTGTGTGTGTATCTGTGTGTATCTGTGTGTATGTATCTGTGTGTGTGTATCTGTATGTATCTGTGTGTGTGTGTATCTGTGTGTACTGTGTGTGTACTGTGTGTGTATCTGTGTGTGTGTAGGTGAGTATGTGGTGGAGTACTCTCTGGAGTATGGGTTCCTGTGTGTGTGTATCTGTGTGTGTGTACTGTGTGTGTGTACTGTGTGTGTACTGTGTGTGTATCTGTGTGTGTGTAGGTGAGTATGTGGTGGAGTACTCTCTGGAGTACGGGTTCCTGTGTGTGTGTATGTGTGTGTGTGTATCTGTGTGTGTGTACTGTGTGTGTGTGTCACTGTGTGTATCTGTGTGTGTGTATCTGTGTGTATCTGTGTGTATCTGTGTGTATGTATCTGTGTGTGTGTATCTGTGTGTGTGTGTGTATCTGTGTGTGTGTGTATCTGTGTGTGTGTGTGTATCTGTGTGTGTGTGTGTGTGTATCTGTGTGTGTGTGTATCTGTGTGTGTATCTGTGTGTGTGTGTGTATCTGTGTGTGTGTGTATCTGTGTGTGTATCTGTGTGTGTGTATCTGTGTGTGTGTGTGTATCTGTGTGTGTGTGTGTGTGTATCTGTGTGTGTGTGTATCTGTGTGTGTGTATCTGTGTGTATCTGTATCTGTGTATCTGTGTGTGTGTATCTGTGTGTGTGTATCTGTGTGTGT